CAGCTCCAGGGACACTTGGGCCGATAAAGGAATGGCAGGAGGAGTATGGCACTGTAAAGGCATTGCTTGTTCCATACCTTTCTCGTATGGGACAGCCATATTGATTAGGACCCTAAATTTAGGTCCATCATGCCTTTTAGATTAGTGTAACTGTTACTGTTCAGAGATCTATAATACCTATACCTCCAGGGACACTGGTTCCTGCTAAAAACAACATAAGAAGAGCATGGCAGTGTAGCAGTATTAATCTTTTGACATCTTTTTCATTTGGACGAGCCATGGTGCTTGGGACTGTCAACTGAGCTCCAAGGTGCCATTTATATTAGGGTTAGCATCAGGGTTAGATTTCAGGCAGTCATAAATTCTACAGATCGAGTAACATTTGTGCTTCAAACAGCATGCCTTAACTGAGCATGGCACTTCAACAACATTGCTTCTTTTCATACCTTTATCATCCAGGCCATCCATCATTCTTGGGACATTAGCATCAGCAGCCAGGTGCTCTTCTCATTAGGGTTAGGGTACTGGGTTATGCCAACTGTCCAGAGATCCATAATGGCTACAGCTCCAACACCAGGGCAGCAAAGATCATTACAAGGAAAGCCTGGCAGTGTTCTACTCTTAATGTTTCCACAACATTTTCATCTGGACCAGCCATTCTGCTTGGCACTTTAAACTCAGCTCCAAGGTGCCATTTAGATTAGGGTTAGGGGTAGGTTTAGGGTTATGCTTCAGGAACTCATAAAGTGTACATAGACAGGAACACTTGGGTTGCAGAAGTCATGCCTAATGGAGCACGGCACTGTAAGGACATTGCTTTGTCTACACCCAGGGACACTGCCTGCTTAACACAATGTAAGGAGTGCATGGCAGTGAACCAGTATAAACTCATTATTGGACTTTAAAATCAGCTCCATCGTGGCATTTAGATTATTGTTAGTGTTAGGGTTAAGGTCCAGACTGTTCTAAATCTTACAGCTCCAGAGACACTTGGGCTGCCAAAGGCATTCCTCTTGGAGTACGGCACTGCATCAATATTACTTCTTGCCACACCTTTGTCATCTGGGCCAGCCATCTTTTTTATGTGATTAACATCAGCTGCCATATTCTATTCTGATTAGGGTTAGGGTGTTGGATTATGCATAATGTTCAGATATCCATAGTAGCTACAGCTCCAACTGTGGGGCAAGAAAGATCATTACAAGAAGAGCCTGACAATGTAGTACTATTAATCTTTCCACAACTTTTTCATCTGGAATAGCCATTCTGCTTGGGACTTTAAACTCATCTCCATTTAGACCATCTTTAGGGTTAGGGTTCAGAAGTCATGAATTCTATAGCTCCAGAGACTCTGGGGCTGCAAATGGCATTATTAGGTGGGCATGTTAGTGTACCACTTTTAAACTTTACACATTTTTTTCATCTGGACCAGCCATGGTGCTTGTGACTGTAAACTCAGTTCCAAAGTGCCATCTAGATTAGTGTTAGGCTTAGGCATCAGACTGTCATAAAGTCTACAGTTCCAGAGACACTTTGTTCTGCAAGAGACATTCAAGAATAGCATGGCTCTGCAACAACATTGGCTCTTTCCACACCTTTCTCGTCTGGACCTCCCATGGTACTTGGGACTTTAAACTTACCTCCTTGGTGCCATTCAGATTAGGGTTAGTGTTAGGGTTCAGACTGTCATAAAGCTACAGCTCCAAAGACATTCAGGCTGCATAAGGCATGCCAAATGGAGCATGGCACTGCAGCGATATTTCTTCTTTTTTAGAGATTCATAAAACCCAGAGTTCCTTAGACAGCAGGTTTGTAAATGTCCTGCCTAGTGTAGCATGGCACTGCAACAACTTTCCTCCTTTCACATAATTTTCATCTCACCCACAAATGGTGCTGGGGCATGAGTCTAAGCTATAAAATACCTTTAGATTAGGGTTAGGGTTAGTGTTCACAGGCCCATAAAGCTTAAAACTCCAGGGATACTGTGGCTGCAAATGCATGCCAAGTGGGGCACGGTATTGCAACTGCATTGCTCCTTCCGCAGTTTTTATGTATTCCACCCATGGTGCCTGGGACCTTAGCTCAGCTCCAATTTGCCATTTGGATGCTCCTTTCACATGTATGTGAAACATATTTCTCTTTATAGCTGTCTGTTTGTATCTCTTTAATTAATTATTTTCCTTCTTTGTTGTTTCATTATCTCACTAATTATAATTGTTTTCAATGCAATTTCTTTTAATACATCCACATTTTTTACACACACATTTTGATGTTTCAGTCTGACTGTTAACATGTTATTTGTTAACGTTCTTTGTAAATTATATTGCATTTCAACTTCTCTTCATAAAATAAGATTTCATTTTCTGTTCTTCCAGAAGGAGCATTTATGTTCAATATTTTGTCATTTTGCTCTTACGCTTAGATGATTTCTTCAGTGATAGTGTCAAAACAGTAACTGCTGATAATACGGTATCATTCATCATGAAACTTGGTCCTATTTCATGCCTCACAGTTTTTTCTGTCCTATAAGATGGTGTGAATTCATTAACCCAAAAGATCCACATCCCAGGTGTCTTGTGAGGTTATGATGGCTATGCAATGCTTCAAAAGCACATGGCACGTCCCTGGTACATTTTATGCTTTAAATATTCCATGTTTCAACTCCCTGTCCTTTTTTTTGTGTCTTCTAACCCTACCTGCCAGCTTACTTTTGAGTTCAAAGATTAACTTTTTAGAGAGCTTACAGGAATGCATATTGCTTGATCTAAGGACTTTGTATTTCTTGAACATGCAAGAATGTGTTCTTAGCATATAGAGCTTATTCATATCCACAGGCCACCAGCTGAGCTGTTAGTGCAGGTCAGCAAACACATAAAACATTTTGTCAATAGCAAGTTGCATCTCAAGCCACTTGGCCACTCCAGAACCACAGCGACTTTAGGCTGATTATTCAGGTTTTCCTGAAGTGTTTCTTGAAGATTCTGAACTATAAGAAAGACTGAAATGTCAGGAAAAGAAATGTTTGGATAAGGGCATTAAAATATCTGAAAATAAGAAAGGAGGCAATTTTCTGTGATATTTGCTGATTTTGAGGACAACATGTTTCTTTAAGCTGAGTATGTTTGGTACAAAAAGTGAGAACATTATTTTCAAATGATTGATAGGTAAAAGTACTCCTGATAATAAGGAAATCGTAAACTGTAAAACATGCATAATTTAGTTTAACAGTGAGTAAATGTCTGAATGCATAACCAGAGTAATAGGATGAGAATAAGAAAATTGAGTATATTAAAAAAAACCCAAACCAAATAATAAAAAAACCCACAACTTTTCTTAGGCTGTGAAATAATATTTCAACAGAAGAAATAGAAACCTTATTTCTTGCACCTTACCAGTTTACATATTGAATTATCAAATTCTAAAGTATTATTTCACACAGTAGTTTTAAAGACTGTCCAGGGACACTTAATAAAGATTAGGAGGAGGGGCACAAATCAGAAAAACACCCTCACTCACATGGCAGAAAAAAAAAAAAAGGAAAAGTGAAATTATAATTTTATAATGAGTGAAAGAAAAAGTTATTTTTTATGGTTTAAAGAACAGATATCAGCTTACAACATGGGGGGGAGACGGGGGTCTGGGTTTGAAAGCAGGACAATAGGGTTTCAAAATAAATGCAACCCGTACAGTAAGAGACAGAATAAACATGAACTGGGAATTAAAAAATCAGTTTCAGAAATCTGACATACTTTTAACAGTGGTGAAAGTATCTCTTTATAACCACTGTGGAAAATAGGTGGCTTCAAGTTAATGAATTATTTTCAGTTCAATAAACCTAAGGGAACAATTCTCAAAGACTGACATACATTTATAAATGTGAAAAAACTGTATTTCAGTATATGTAGAGTAAGTTTAAGGAAGTCTTTGAATTTAGTATCCAAGGGAAATTTACAAGAAATATCAAAGAGAACAATGGAAAAAACAGCTAAGAAAGTTATTAAATTTTTCTGTGAAAATATTAATTCAAAGCTGATATAGAGTGCCCTTTGGTGATATAACCACCACTAATTATAAGCTTGAGGGGAATATATTAAAATTGTTACATAAAACTAGTGCACTTTATGTTATTAGTGATTTTTAGCATTTCAGGTAGGCATTATGTTGCAATTCGTCATGATGCCTCCCCTTAGAAAGTATTCACATTAATATAATAATTTTCACTTATATTTTTATTGTCTGGCTTAATATGAATTTAAATATTATGAATAAAGTTAACATTAGATTTTACTCTAGAAATGTATTCTCATGTTTTTAACAAATGTAATAAAACATTGCATGATGAATAAAAATCTAACAGAAAAATATATTTCCATCAGTTTATAACAACATTCACTCATATCTTATTAAGATGTAAGTTTATTAGCAAAATTAAAAATGTATTTGTAACCAGACACATTACATTTTTAGTTAACTCAGAACATCCAGGGGACCTTATCCCAGGGAAAACTGTTTACAGAAAATATCTCAATGGTAATAAAAAATTGACAATCTTGCGATAAATATATATCTCTTGCTCTATGTATAAACTCTGCAAATCTGAAAATCTACCTACAGATCTGCTAATCTGTATCTGACTCCAATTAAATCTGCTTCCTTAGGTAAATGATGACAGGAACCCATGGTTTTGGTTTGTTTCCCTTATTATCATGTAGATCTGGATTTCTTCTGCAGAAATAAGTCTAAAACAAAAAATCAGCTTGGTATACTTTTGAACTTTAAACCTTTCAAAACATAGTTAATGGCAGCATCTAAGGCATTATCAGACATGACCTAACAATTAAGTGCATCTCTCACATTTGATAAACTATCTCATCTGCTAGGAATGTGAGAAAAATGAACCACTTATCTTGGAAATTCCTAGCAGACAGCACTTACATGACATATAAAACAAAGGAAATGTATTAGCACAAAAAAGAGAACATAACATTAAACTTCTCTACCATAATGGTCAGTACCTCCAGACCAAGTTCTGAGCCATAGGTATCCAACAGTCAGGTGCATCCAGAATGCAGTAGGAAAAACCTCTTCCTTCCTTTGAAGATGTTGACTTGCTATATCTGAAAGGTTAAATGACTCTAGTTATTTAAGCATTGTTGCCCTTAACATGAAGGGCTCACTCTGACTGCAGAGATTCAACAAACTATTACATTAGCACTGTTAAGAGCCCTGACAAAGAGCCTTACCAGTCATCTGCAAAAGAAAGCTAGCAAAAAGAGGCACCTGCCACTATTTACCAAGAGATAGGGAAAGATGCCTCCTCTTCTTCCTGATTCATCCAGAGCTCTGAGTAAATTTTCACAAACTAAATTATCTGTGCCTGTTTCCTGCCCCTTCACTCCCTGTCCACTGCCAACAATCAATGAAGCTCAGCATTGCCTAGGACTTGAGGACAAATGCCTTCAGCACCTGTGCACACTTCCCATGCTGTTTTTACTGGCAGACACTCTGCCTTAACGACTGCATACCCTTTCATAGGGAAATTCCTGTACCATTGACAGCCTGAGGAAATTATGGCCTCATGGACTTTCAATATACCTTTTGTTATTTTTTTTTTTATTACTAGTAATGAACTACTATCTTCACCTTCTCCCTGTCTCTTCCATTCTCTGGTAGACTGGACAGGACTTGAGACGGTTCTGAAAACCTTGTGTATGAGCCCTGTATGGCTATCCTATTCTTATACTCTATTTTCTTTCACTACTCATGACATGACTGCATAAAAGTTGTTAGGAAAGCTATTACAGCTTGGATTTTCTTTGAGCCTTGAGTCTCTGCACCAGTACAATTTGGCCTGTGAGTGATTCCAAATTCTAAATCTTAAAGGTCATTTTCAGGGGATACATATATGGTAATTTGTGCAAAACTGATGGATTTGGTATGGGGAAATGTAAAAAAAATAATAAATCTACATCTTATGAATTGAAGAGCAGATGATTGACTGCAAAAACAATATATAATCTGGATGAAAGGAAGAATATTTTTCATTTAAAATAGTTAAGTGAATTAAATGTTGCTGAAAACAAACAAAAAATACCTACAGCTAATAGTTAATTAAGTATCAAGTTTGGAAAAAAAATATACAGACAAGGAAGGAAGAATATTTAGAAGAAATTAAAAAAAACATCCCAGACTGTGGCTTGTCATGTATCTTATTTCAAGCACATCAAATTAAGACTGTGTTAGAACATAACAAGATAAATAGATATTAACAGTTCACCATCATGCAGAAACCATGTAGTGATCACACATGATTAATATACAATGAAGGCAGTTATCTTATTAGACTTAATGGCACCTATAAAAGGAGACAAGTCACAGGCTTGGGACAGTAATGAGATAAGCTTGCAGTCTGATCAATTTGCATGCAAATAACCTCATCTGAATGAAATTTATGTCTGCATTTTATACTATTCTGCAAGCATTGCCTTTCCCATTGTTCTAGCCTCACTTTCTTGAATTTTCTTAGAAATAAGAAAAAAAAAACAAACCTAAGACACTAAAGATCACCTTGTACTCTGCTATTACATCAGTTTTCAAATGTCCATTTCTGACTACAAACTTCTTCTACAGCCCATCAGAGATGTGGCTGAAATTCTTTATATCTTGTAAACAATTTTAATAAAGTTTAAAATAGTTGAAAAGTATATTTACCTTGAAATGTATTCATGTGTTTGAAAAGGATAATGAAATGCTAAAGCCTCGCATTCAGATAAACAACACATCAGTGAATTTTATTATTTTTCCATATAATGAAAACATTACATTTTAATTTTATTTGGTTTTATGCATTCCATAATTAAAGAAATAAAGAAGCTGGAGTCATATTTATCTTCATCCACATTTTATTTCTAAAACTTTAGTTTATATTTCCTGCAAATTATATTTCAGAAGAGGTAAATACTGGTTCATTTATTTGCTTTCTGTGAAGTTGCATTTTAGACCTAATGTGAAGATGCATGAAAAGGCTTTTCCTTACACCATCAGATCTCAGCCTGTCAGTGAAAACCTCTCCATTAATACATGTTCAATAATGCAACATGCTGAATAATCTGATCACAGCCTAGCAGAATAGTTAAGAGCATATTGCATTTTAAACACAGGAATGTGTTGCACTTATTTAAATTTTTCGTATGAATAAAGAAGGTATTTTGACAGGTGAGTATAAATAACTATAGAACTGCACAAAACCAAGCCCAACGCAAGCTCCAGGCAAATACAATTCAAAGAGTAATTGCCTTGAATTTGTATTTTAAAGAATGTCTCACTAATTCTTTAAATAACTTTTATTACTGTGGGCCTAGTAAAATTTGACTTCTGTCCTCCTCCATTCTTAATCTTCCAAACATAAAAGATTTTATTGTAACATGAATATACAAGACCACCCAGTTCAGTGGTTACTTGCCCCCTCTATTAAATATCAGAAAATAGAAAATAGCAACAACTGCTCTTTATTGTTGTTTCTGTTGTTATTCAGACAAGCTATTGAAAGGACCAATTTATATTATCTTAAAGAACTATCTGTATGATTGGGTTGCTACAAAGAAGACTAGACTTGAAGTGGAAAGCCAAGAGGGAATTTTTGACATACTGAAATGAGCAAGTGCCAAGTCTACAGCCTCTAAACAGAGACAAGGGCTATGCCTTAAGAGTCCTGTTCATGTGCTCTAGCAGCATGCTCTGGTAAGGTTTTTATTTTTGAAGTAACTAACAACAGTGTTATGAAATGTAGGCAGAAAGGCTGGGAAGACATTCATCTGTCATCCTACTACCCCTGGATTTCCTTCCCAAGCACAGGATCGAAGTATTTTGGAAATTATTTTAGATAAAGTTGGAAAAAAGGAAATTACCTTGGTGGAATTAACAGTAAACTATTAAGGGTAATGAGAAGCACTTTCAGAGAACAAAGAAAAGAAGTAATCAGTAGGAAAGGAAATTATCAAATCAATAATTTAGAGGTTGGGAGATAGCTCGCATTCAACATTTCAGTCTCAGGAAAAAAGCACAAAACTCTGTATATTGACTACAGTTCTTGAAGAATCTTGTCCAAAGAAAACGTGAAGGAGAAGATGATGTTAATTTGACTGTTCTAATCATGCTGAAAAAATCTGTTCCATATTCTCTGATCGATGAAAGAAAATAAGCAGAAGAACAAATGTCATATATACAAGAGAGAAACTGATCTTAAGATGATAGTGAAGATAGAAAGAGGAATAAAATATTTGAGTTACCAAGTGCTAGAAAATGAAAAATGCTACTATAAACAACCAAATTCACTTGTGGCTGTCCAACTGTAAGCAGGAATTCCATTATTCATGATAATTTGGAAGTGTAAAGCAGAATCATCTAAACTTTAAAGATCCAGTATCCCCAGAAATCTAAACTCTCTTCTTACAATGTTTCAATACGTAACTCCACCATTTTACCCTTGAAACTGAAAAGATACATATAATACTATTCCTTGTCTTCCTGCCTGCAAAGTTGTGAGGAAGAATTTCTGATGCTTCCTGTATGTAAAGCTGTGTTTTAGCATGTTCTGACCTATAACGTTTGTCAATGTAGTGTGCTTATCTCATCAATACATCTACTTCCAAAGCTAATTGTCATAGGTTCACACAAAACATGAACAAAATAAAGGTATTTCTATTTTTGTGTGATCCACTTACAAATATGCAATCAGAGGGAAAATATTTAAATTAACTCTACTAAGTTCATTACAAGATTCAGGCCAAACACCTTGTGTGGTATCATATGTACAGGTAGAAGAAAACAGAAACTGGAAATCTTTACATTTTTTTATTTACATAAGGGGCATGCAGATGAAATACATAGTTATCAATCTGGTAGAAAAAAAATATTTATAACTGACCTGTAGTACCATGAAAGGAAGTTTCTTATTTTGTTCTTTTTTTTGGTGGTGTTTTTGTTTGTTTGTTTTGTGGGTTTTTTTTTGTTTTGTTTTGTTTTGTTTTAGTAGCATGTGCAATTAATTGTGTATTTTCATTTCAGGGCTTTTCCATTTTTTTGCAGTTTTGAATTCTATTGGTAGATGCAGAGAAAGACAGATGTGGAAGCTATGTGATGATGGATGGAGTTGGTCGTTCTTTGAAGAAGGTTATTTTAAGTTTCTTCAGATTGTATAATGTTGAAAGGCATCAGACAACTAGAACAAACTGGTCTTGATGAAACAACATCAGGCAAAATGTAGATGTAGAGAAAAGTACCTGCAAAAATAATGTCATGTTGGTTTTTTGAAGAAGTTTAAGGCAAAGTTTAGAGAAGTGCACTGATTTTGAGTTACTCGGTTTTGCAGAAGTAATTGAAGCTCCTGCATCTTGATTACCACTTGAAACACTGCCTGTAATCAGTTAAGGTTTAAGGATCTTAGACCTAAGAACTTTATTACTCAAGGGTTTACATGTACTTTTCTGCTGACTCCCACTTTAAAAAAAAAAACAATACCCTCTAAAACCCACACCAAAAACCCAGCATGAGTTGTAAGGATTAAATCACATTATTTCTGTCACAAGATTTTGTGAGAAATAAAATTTGCAATATATTTTTTTGTTATTTTATGGTGTCTTTCTTCTCTGTTTTGGTCTTAGTAAATTAATTTAACAGAAGGAAAAGAAGAAGAAATGTGCTAAAGATTACCAGATATTAAACTTGGTCTACCTGAAGAAAATAGCTAGTTCAAGATATGTTAGTAACTGAAAATGAGTAACATACGTCAATAATCCATGCTGCTCACAGAAAGTTATGGTAACATGAAAACTTACTTTTATACAATGGATCAGTTTTGCTACTAGGCATGTTTGAATGCAGTTAAGTGTTATACATTGAGGCAGTGTCTAACTGCATGTGGAAGTAATACTTTTATATCAGCCCACTTAGACTTATTACTCTCAACGTCGCTAAACAGACAAGTTGAATCAATGCCTTTTTTCTTCAAGTAACCTTAAGGCCTCTATGTATAAAACTCTCCCTTGAGCAATTCTAGATCTACTTGTCTTCTCAGCACAGATTGTCCTTGATATCTCTTCTCTGGTGGGCTTTCATC